ACAAAAGCAAACCTTTGAGCTCTTCTACCATAATGCAGAAAATGCACCTTGCCATATTACAAAGGACAGCGTCCTAAACCAAGATTTTCCTGATTATGTGGCAAAGTGCATAAATGTATCCATTTAATAAAAGCATTTCAAAGTCAATATGGACCTGTCAAACATGAGTATATAACTACCTTTGTCATGAAATGTTTCACACCTTACAAAATTATGTAACAATACATCAACACAATAATATAATAAAGACCAATATTCTGAATTTTCTTCAAGTGTTTATATTGATATATTAACAAACCACACACAATGTTAAAGAAACAAATGCATAGCCAAAAAAAATACTCATAATCAATAGGGAGTATATGTTAGTTTTATAGTGTTATTTACCAGTTCAGAGATTTCTAAAGTCTACTTAGTTTATAAAATCATTGAAGGATACGCTCATAACTTCTTTCTTAAGTATAACCTTACACATACTGAAGCAAATCTATGAAGATAATTCCTCCGGTTCTGCTTATCAAGAGAATTCCTGGGTTTAAAATTATGTCACTGCAGTTCTGCCTCAGACGTTCAGAGGTGTATGAATTTATAAGGGAAGCCTGCAAGATCAGGAAGATGAAGTACCTAGAGCAGTAATCCCTCCCGGAATTAAAGCCATACTAGTCATGCAAGGCTTGCCCCTCCCTGACAGAATTGAAATCGTTCAGTGTTATATTGGGAGCTAATATTTGTGCGTATTTTTTACTTATCGAAAATGAAACTATGTTCACTGGCTCTAGCAGCCTTATCTCTAAAATAAGTGACAAAGTTTCTCAGCTAATATATTTGCTGTGAAAATTATTTCCAAATTTATATATTCTTGCTTTCTGCTTATGTTATTATGTTTCAGGCATTGTACTGTGAAACAAATGAAAGTAAAACAAACAAATCAAGAGTAAGGAAATTACATATACTTTTTTCCCAGTAGCACAAGTAGATAAAAAAAAAAAAAACATAAACTACAACGGGTTGGTAAAATGTATTGAAAGAAAAAGATTTGCATGTTGTACCTAATATTTCAATATCTTAAATTTAATATAATAAAAATTTTACCATTCAAAGTTAAATTACAAACTAAATTGAGCATAAACTATTACTTTGAATTCTATCTTGATACATTACTTTAAATTTTGTCCTCTATTTTTGCTTTTATTCATCAATATACTCAAAATTTCAAGTATTCTTTTCAATGTCAATGTAATCCTGTCTTCCAGGCTTCACATGGGATCTAATGCATAAAAATTTCTGTGACCAGCATTGTGTCAGAATGGTTATTTTGAACAATCCAAGGCAATGGCACTGGAATCTACACTTGCTTCCATTTAAGAGAAACCATTTCTCTCTCCTGGCTGTGTTGGAAAGATGAACATCTACCTAAGTTGCTGCTGAGACTCTGAAAACATCTGACAAATGAAAGTACTAGAAAGTGAGAACTGTGGATAGGCAAGTGATGTCAAGAGATGCAAATACAATGTTCTTCGGCTGCTCTGTTTGAAATCCCACCCTAGTATTTCAGAAATTTCTACCAACTACATTTTAATAACATGAGCCAGTCTCCATTATTACTCTTGGTTTTACTGAAGCTGGTTTGCTTAGGGAGTCTCTCGCTGGCAATCAAGAATTTTCAGTTAATAACCTTGCGTTTATATTTTGCCCATCCATCTGTTTATACCAATTGTTTAATTTTTCAAAATAATGGTATGTGACATACAGGGCATATATAATTGTGACTTGATTAATAACTTCACACTTTAAAAATGGAAAATACACGTTAGAAAATATCTGAATAGCTTCTGTAGATGCGTAATTGATGATTAGCGTTAGCAAAACATATGAGATACTTATGCCTTCTGGATCAGGTCAACTGTTTAAAAATACGATGTAAGTGTTAATGAAGCAATTGATATTGTACTGTAGGTATGTTGTGATGAAGTAGAGCCAAGATTTAAAACAAATCATGTGGCTTTACATAAATGAAAATGTTAGATATATGACTTTAAAAGAGAAAGAACTGGTCACTAATTTGCTTTTGACACAACTGGGGATTCTGATAGGACACCTAGAAAGATGTCTCAATAGCACCTTTCAGCATTAGACATCTAAATACAGGATCGTCTATAATGCTAACAGGTGAAACTGAGGCAGTGGCAGAAGAACTCTCTCCTTGTCAAGGTCAAGGTGTCACCATAATTGTCAGATGGAGAAACTGAAGCACAAACAGATAAATGTCCACAAACAAAATGGATTTTAACCAGTCTTTATGATGCAAAAAAGCAAACACCGATAAAATCCTTATGAGTTAATAATATTGTTGGCAAAGAACATTTAAATGAGAATGTGGATCCTAAGGCAACCGAGGAATCTCAGGCCGAACAGAAAGAAAAGGACGTTAGTGATACCTAGTTACACAACACACACACACACACACACACACACACACACACACACACGCGCGCGCGCGCGCAAGAATAAGAAGTCAGACTGCTCATGATGCAGGTAATGACTGGGAAAAAATACGTAGATTATTAACTGTTAATCAGCTTAATTTTAAGTCCTTGAAATATAATCTAAAAAGTTTAAGATCTAAGTTTAAACTATATGAGAAACTTATGTAGACTCACAAACAAACTGTAAGAGAATACATTTGAGCTTTCTAATGCAACTCATTGGGCAAATATGAGAAGTAATTTTCTTCCTATTAGACAAAAGATGACTATTGGATCCTAAAGCTTAAACTACATTATGTGCAGTTAAATGGTTTTCACTTTCAGATTGCATTAAAACTGAATTACAATCACTACTTCCTTGAATTGCTTGGTATTTCTTTCCTCTATAATGAGAATATTAATAGTGAATATTTTCATGCAATCAAATACATGCATTGCTCCATTTGATTCAGTATTATTGAATATAACATTAAAGGATTTTTCTAATTGATTTCAAAAGAGTATCAAATAGGATTATGTTGTAGGAAACTGCTTTGGGAGCATATCATCTGGTAGAACAAAAAACAGTCAAACACAAAGCAGTGAAATAAGCAGGTCTGTTTACTATGTGCCACGACTCCTTCCCTTGAGAACATGATGGGCCACTAACAAATACAGGCAACATCCACATCACATCACATATCACACACTACCACATAACACATAGTGCCATGACTCACCAATTGCCACACATCACGACACATCACACATCACCACATACCACATAGCACATGTCACATATTACCACAATCACATAGCACCACATAACATAGCACACATCAATACATATTACACAGCACCACCATATTTCACACAGAACTTCATATCATATATCATTACATATCATATGGCATGACATTTCATATAGAACTACATAACCCATAGAACCACATATCACACATCAACACATATCTCCACATTTCAATAGCACTACATAGCACCAAATGTTATACACAACCACATACCACCTTGAATCCCATTCATCACAAGTCACATAGCACATCTCATCACAGGTCTATACCAACATATATCACCACATGTTATATATCTCAGATAGCACATATAATCATTACCTGCTTAATATAATCGCATATTACAATATATATCACATATCATATGTTCTTCATCCTGAGACCTTATATTATGCATCATAATATTTTCTCAGAAAAATCAACAGCAAGTTGTTCACTTTATTAATTGAATATTTTATCAAAAGTAGCTGTAATTTAACATTTCATGTCTATGTATATTTGTTATCATGAATTTAATACTCTTTAACAATTATGAGAATACAAGTCTTTCATTTATTTACTTATTTATTTTATTTTATTTTATTTTATTTTTTTTGGTTTTTCGAGACAGGGTTTCTCTGTGTAGCTTTGCGCCTTTCCTGGAACTCACTTGGTATCCCAGGCCGGCCTCGAACTCACAGAGATCCGCCTGGCTCTGCCTCCCGAGTGCTGGGATTAAAGGTGTGTGCCACCACCGCCCGGCTTCATTTATTTAATGTATAAAATCAAATTTAGCTTTCAGTGAGAGCCAGTATTGTTTAAAGGAAAATATATAAACTATAATTGTATGATTATATCTTTTAAATATTCTTTGTGAGCAGATAAACATATTCAGAAAAATGCATGCCTATATCATCTTCCATCTTGTCAAATTTTGACAAAATAGGCATGTCCATGGCAACTAGCACACAGATCAAGGAAGACAAAGCAACTGATTGTTGGCAAACCTCTGTACTTCTTACCAGATAATATCACGTGACACAGTAAACTCTAATAGTGTAAAGTTCTAGTTATGTTAGTTTACTGAAAAATTTAAAATAGTAGCATGCACTCCTTGTAAAATCTAAGTAAACTTTCAACTATGCTTATATCAAGAACTGACTTCAGAGGTAGAAAAGGCCTCAGACTTTCCAGAAGACCTAGGCTCATTTCTCAGTACCCACATCTTCAGCTGACAACTACTGGGGAATCCAACCCTCTCTTCTTGTCTCTGCAGACTCATACACATAAGGGCATACACACACACACACACACACACACACACACACACACACACACACACACACACATACACACATACACACACACACACACACACACACACACTCACATAGAAAACAAATAAACCAACAAAAATACAAACTGATTCCATTTCATGCTACACCCTGCAACTCCTAAATCACTGATCCAGGATCAGCATTCACGCAGATACAATGCTAACTTCTCAGCTTGCTGACCCATAGCCTACAACAGGACACCAAAATAAGACTTAAATGACATAGGTCAGACACCCAAAGAAGCAGGTAGTAGTGATTTGTCGAAATGAATTAATTTTCAACAAAACAAATTTCTGCCCATCCATACACTGTCACTTCATCACATGCGGGAGGCATCTGGGCAGCTAGCTATAATTTCAGGTACTTGGAAGATATCTCACATCCTGGAACCTTAAGTAGCAACTTACTGTTTAGAAGGCTCAGGACATTTTGGTTCTTCTAGCTTCTTCTTTTCTCTTGTTGGGTCCACAGGGCTAAGAAGGACAGCGGCACACGACATTACCGAATGGCAGGAATCTTCCCGGCAAACTGGAGTTTGAAAACAATTCATTGTAAATGTTAAAATAACTCAGTGGCTCTTCTCGTGTTCCTCACTTCATTTTTGTATTTTCAGTCAAGTTCAGGGAAAATTTCAACAAAACATTAATTAACACTGAGTTATCCTTAACTCTTTTGAACACTGTTTTTCACTAGTTAGCTTTACAACCCTGAGCAATTTTACTTAGCTTTATAGCCAAAGTGGAAAAGGTATTCCTAACATTTAGCAGCCAAAAGATAAGTTGTCCTTTGAATGGCAGATAACAAGTTTATGCCATGGCACATGTAGTTCATAAATCTTCACAAGGAGAATTCACTTCCTTCATCAAGGTCAAGATCAAAAGAAACTCATGAATTACCATGTGCCTAAACTCCTGTGGTCTCCTTCTTGTCCAACTACAGCCAAAAAATCACCGACTGTTATGATATTACCATGAAGGGGCTTGCATTTGTGGCCTTTCTTTAATGGAGTCATACTTTGTGATCATTCTTTAAAAAATGGCTTACTGTGTTCCATGTGTGTTTGTAAAATTCATCCATAAAATGTACTGTTGGTTTATTGCTGTGGCAATGCAGGTTTCCCTTGGGCAAATAAACTAAGTTGTTTTTAATCTTTCAATATTAATAGTCATTGTTTCAGTTGGTGGCTGTTTCTATTAGCTATTAACCTCTTGTGTTTTTTGGTTAGTTACAAATAGAGATTTGTTCTCAAAAGGCTTCGTGAAGCTATACTTTTTCTTAGGGTATGTTGTTGATTATATTCTCGATAGTCGACACCAATGAGCAATTCTCTGTCCTGACTACTTTACTTTCCCCCCAAACAGATGTTTCAACTGCCCCACAACCACAAAACACTTGATTTCACAAATTGTCCCATTGAAGTTTTCATATCATATGAATACTATATCACTGCATAACAAATCCACACAAGCTCTGTTTAAAATAACATTCTCTTATTATCTCAAAGTTCCGTAAGTTGTAAATCTGGGTAAGTGAACTGGACACACTTCTTCTCTTAGAGTCTCAAGAGGCAAATGTTAATGTGTTGGTTTGGCTGCACTCCTATCAAGAGTTTCCATGAGCCAAGCATTGTGGCCCCAGAAGTGGACTGGGGCAGGTGGTATCCTAGTTACTACCTCTTATACTTCATCTAGAAATGTACCCAATAACGTGTTTTTCTGTTTAAAAAAGAAATCTGTGGGGAAATAATCCACTGACAAATTAATTCAGGTTTGTGGTGGTTGACATTTCTTCTCAATATGACGAGATCAGGTACCCTGTAGAAGACAGGCCTCTGAGCACTTCTGCTAGGGATTGCATTTATCAGATGAAATGAGGTGGGAAGATGCACCCTGAATATAGCAGGATAATCCCATGGCTAGGGTTCTGGATTGTACAGAAGGAGAATGTGAGACGAACATAAGAGTTCATGCATCCTTCTCTGTTTCTTGACTGTGGATACAGCATGGCCTCAGGCTCAGGATGCTGTGACTTCCCTTGCCATTGCAGAATGTGCAAGGATCCTTGGAGCTAAATACATTTTTTTCTTCCTGAAGCTGACAGTGCCAGGAGATTTTGTCACAGCAACCAGAAAAGAAATGAATACAAGGTAGCTATAAGAATCTGCTTCCTTCCTATGAGAGAAAAATCAAGTCTCCTGTTTCTAGGAACAATCATGTGTCATCATAGAATTCTACCTCATAGAGCTATTCAATTAAGAATGCAATTACATGGGACCGGGTCCTGTGCTCAGTGCATGAGTTGGCTGTTTGAAACCTGGGGCTTATGCAGGGACGCGTGGCTCAGTCTGGAAGGAGGGGACTGGACCTGCCTGGACTGAGTCTACCAGGTTGATCTCAATCCTCGGGGAGTCTTTGCCCTGGAGGAAATGAGAATGGGGGGTAGGCTGGGGGGAAGGGGAGGGTGGCGGGAGGGGGAGAACAAGGGAATCCGTGGTTGATATGTAGAATTAAATTATATTGTAAAATAAAATAAAATAAAAAATTCAAATAAAAAAATCCAAATGAATGCATATTTCTGGATTCATTAAACCTGACACATGTCCATGAAAAAAAAAAGAATACAATTACATTATATATCTTTAACCTATATGTTCCTGATAATTAAGTTAAATCTGTATGTATGTAGTCCTCATTTATATGACTCTAATTTATACAAAGTATTTTTAATCTTAGTGAAATTACAGCTATAACCAAGAAAACATGGCTCAATTACTGCCAGCTTGGTGAATCAACTTTAATTGTATAAAGTATAAACATCCCTAATTTTCTTTAGTTTATAATCTACTATGTAAACAACAAATTCAGACCACAATCAACGGCAAACTTGTGAACTTTTTCTGAATCTGGTGATTACTGATCACTAGGCACATGCTATTAAGCACAAGGCAGTGAAGGACCTATGTAGCATTTTCCAAATGCAGATAATCTAAAGGAATAAATTTGCCAGGAAAAAATGAAAGTATGGGAAAGAAATGAATGCTGATAGAACCACAAGGACATTTCTCTTAAATGTAAATACTGTTGCTCAATTGACACTAATGTTCATTTCAAGAACTAAGTGATGACAGCACAAATTTGTCTCTTACTCAATGTAGCAAAAAAGAAAGAGAATAGAGGAGAGTGAAAGCGCCGGAGACAGAACCAGGAAACGCAAGTCAGCCAAGAGCATGATCTTCCAAAGCAATGATCCTCTCTTTCCCCTTAAAATTCTCTCTGAAAGTGCCACATAAATGACGGAATCTTGGTATTTAAGAGAAATTAAACCGCACTCAGCTTCCAGTATTGTATTATTTGTTTCTTGGCGGTGGCAACAAAGCAAAACCAACATATGGAAGAAAGTGTCTATTAGACTTACAGATAACAGTCCATCACCGAGGGAAGCCAAGGCAGAAGGGGAAACAGAGACCATGGAGGCAGGTCTCTGGAAGTGGAATCAGAGACAATGGAGGAACACTGTTTACTGATCTGTCTCTTGTGGCTTGCTTACGTAACTTTCTTATGCAGCCCACGGCCACCTGCCCAATAATGGTAGTGTCCATAATGAGCATCTATTAGCGATCAAGACAATGCCCCACAGGTAAGCCCCACACAACAGACTCATGGTGGCAAACCTTCAACCGAGGCTCATGATTGCCAGGTGACTGTGGTTTGTGACAAGTTGACAAAAACTAGCTAACACAAGTATCTTTAAATTTCATTTATCATGTTACACAAAATTAGTGTGACCAATTCAAATTATACAAATAAGAAACAGAGAAATGATAACGTTTCAAAACAAAAAATAAGCCAACATTGAGCTCCAAAGGCAGAAATTGAGAAATAACAGAGCCCTTAGAAGTCATCACAGGCAGGAGGTGTCCCTGAGATAAATGGAGCAATTGATAGTAATATGATAACAATATTCCAGCAAAAGACATTCTTCCAAGCCCATGTGGATACTTAAAATGCAGATGAGTATCTTGTACTGATCATGATGTAAGCTCCTCTATGTAAGAACTGAATTTGCATACCAGTTGCAAATTATCTTGAATTTTATCACCCACAAAAGTATAGGTGAAAAAAAATTTTCAGAATAAGATGACTAACAGTAAATGGAAAAGCACATTTTTTATTAAAATAGACCATAATGATACAGATTAAAATGAAAAGTCATAAAAAATTATCAGTCATTATGGGGTAAATCATATGATTTTACAGAAGATTAATGGACTTTTCTCACTTAAAGAACTTTACAACATGGATGTTAGTGGTATCATGACAATCTACATTAAAAATAAAACAAATATCTGGCATTTCTGATACATCTTACAAATTAATACTTATGGTAAAGAAACATTTAAATGTGCTTAGAATGAATAACTGAAATTATTTATGGATACCCATACACAATAGGCTTTAACTGACCATAAGGTTAAAGTCAACATCGACAGAAAGTGATTGGCTTTAGGGAGGCAGTTTTGCAGACCATTGCTCAAGCCATGTGAGCAGAAAGTGGCTTCTGTGTCCTTATCCATAGAGGCTCCCATCAGCCAAAGGCTCAGAGCAAGTGATTTTTAGTTCTCTTCTGTTGTTCCCACCTTGATGCTCTGAGGAGTACCATTTATTTTCATCCATTAAAACCTCTGTTATACATTCTTCCAGTGTGTACTTGGTTTTCTGCCAGGGAATGTGAAACTGAGGTGGTAGCCCAAATCTCCGTGTGCTTCTCCCAGTGACAAAGGCCAGTACTCTGGTAGCAGTGCTAAGCCATCTGCTTTGAAATGACTTACAACGTCATATATTGTTGCACAAAGAACAAATAGCAAAGGATGGTATGATATTTAATTTAGAAAAATGTGGACTGTAAAGTCACCTGTCACTGGTGCTGGTGTTTCATCGGCCACCATTACTCTGTACTCAAAAGTAAAGTAGTTATAAATGGCAAGTCCTGAACTTTTGCCTACTGGGTCAATTGAACATTATGTACATATGTTCAGACTTACATATTTATAGACAGGAACTCATGTAGCCCAGCCTGGCCTCAAATTCCCTTTGCTCTTGAAGATGACCTCAAAGTCCTATAACCCATGAGGAAATAGAAGCAGTCATTAAAAGTCTCCCAACCAAACAAAGCCCGGACCAGCCAGTTTTAGCTCAAAATTCTACCAGACTTTCAAAGAAGACTTAATACCAATACTCTTCAAATTATTTCACATAATAGAGACAGATGTAACATTGCCAAATTCATTCTATGAGGTCACAGTTACCCTGATAACCAAACTACATAAAGGCTCAACAAAGAAAGAGAAATACAGGCCAATTTCCTTCATGGACATAAATACAAAAATACACCATAAAATACTGGCAAACTGAATCCAAGAACACATTAAAAAGATCATCTACCATGACCAAGTAGGCTACATCCCAGAGATACTGGAATGGTTCAACATACAAAAATCTGTCAATGTAATCCACCACACCAACAAACTG